ACGGATGCCTAGATCTTTATCAAAGTTGGTCAAAATATCTGCTTCGGTGTCCTTACCGAAGAGAAGATAACCCGATATAGCAGTTGAAGCATAGACAACAACACAAATCGCTGTTGTGATTCTCCCAACTCTGTTCATCTTATGTGGCGATCGACCTTCGAGCTCGTTATAGATCGGCTGGACATTGAAATGACAAACGTAAGCGTTTGACATAATCGGAATAACAACAAGAAGATCCAAGATTGCTTTTTTAGAACCAAAATCAGGAGTCATCCTCGGAGGATCAATCGTCCCTTCGATGAGCTTAATCGTCGCGACAGCAAAACAAACAACAACAAACACAACTGCAAGCCCAACCGAAGCAGCTGATGTCAAGCTCAATGAATCAATCTTGTTCAAAGCACATAGAGGAGCCAAGAAGATGACCATAACAATCAAAATCAAAACTTTACGATGATCCCAAAATCCATTACCTAACCATTGATCCAAAACCCCAATATGATGAAGTGAACCAGATATAACATCACCCATTATGATCAGATAAACAACAAGAACACCACCATTGTTGACAATGATACAAATCTCAGATAAAACCCTAGCGGTTTTCCCCAATGCGAATTGAACCACCTCGCCGTAAGATCTGGATTTGTAAAGAACTGAGAATCTAATCAAAAGCTCAACACTAATCTCAGATAAAATACCCATCAAGATAATCAAAACAAACCCTAGAACCAAGCCGAGAACTTTCATTGTCGCAGGCAATGCCATGATCCCAGCACCGATAATCGATGTAGTGAGATTAAAAACCGCACCGTAGATCCCAGATCCTTGATTCGATTTCCCATGAACAAGTGAATAATCAGCGACATCGAAATCCACGTCATCATCATCTCCGAGTTCTTCATCACCAACAACAACATTACGAGTATCATCGAAATCATTCACGAAGCTTTCTTCATCAGAAGGAAGCAATTTGGTTCTTCCGGGTTTTCCTGGGATTCCATTATCCGTCTGTTTCTGTAACTCTACGTAAGAAGTTTTCTTGGAAATCACAGAGTAACTGCTATCCATTCGCCAGATCTGATGTAAGAACCCCTCTCTGAAATCGGGAGATTTAACTTACAGAGAGATCGAAGAAGACGAAAGACGAGACCTTTTTGGTTTTTCGAAGGAGAAAGAGAGATTGTTCAAAAAAAATGTCAAATTTGCTGAATATTGGGTTAAGGGTCAACGTCGCAATTGGTAGTTCTTCCTGCCTCGTCGGC